ATAGTAAGACGTAAGATTGCATTTTCATTTCAAGACAATAATTTGCGATAATTGTTCAGGTGTTACGGCAAGCAAGAATCTGTCATGTTGAAAAAAAGCGCTAAAAGCGAGGGGTGCGGGTTCTAGTCCCGCCTGGAGCGAAAGTTTTGTTCACAACCCAGCATACTTGTGAAGCAATTTGTATTATTGGTCAAAGTTGAATGAGAACGCCATTCGCAGAAGGCAGCTTCACGAGGAAGCTAACCTTTCTTAAGAATTTCGAAGATTGGTCGACTCGCCTTGTCCCCCAATATCCTCGACCTAGAAACGACTTGCTCGGGTTTTCCTCCCAATCGAATAAAGTTGAAAAGATGCGCAGTATTGGCCGGCATCAGGCAAACATTGCGAAAGTTACAACCGGATGCCTATGTTGAGCTTTGAGAGAGGGAAGACCACGCGACTGGCCTGAACCAAAGTCGAGAGCAGCGACGAGTCACTTCTGTCTTCTCGGAAATAAAGTTGTGAACCTGCTGAAGTGTTTCATCAAAAGGAAAACCATTTCTAGGGACTACATTCAAATAGCCAGAAAGAGTGCTAGTATCGTCACTGCTGAGGATTGGTCAGACCATTCGGGCAGAAGAGTTCAGTGCTTCCCTTCGAAGCCAGAACTAGCCGAAAAATATGGGTTTTCTGTCACGGCAATGATCCGGTCCAGGTCTACCTTCTCATTGCCGCCTTCCTAAATCCTTTAAAGGAAGCTGTCCACAAAGTGCAGGAGTGGACTTAATATTCGAAAAATGATGCTATAATTGATTCAATGTCAAAAAACCGATGCCTTCATAGAATTATATAAAGGATAAAGCATTTGCCGTTGATCAATCCCTTTTTGGGATGCGGCACGCATTCTACTTCCATTTGTACATTCGTAGTGGTTTGAATGCGATGTGGCCTATACAATGACTTGCGGGGCCAGCCGATGTACAAGTCAGTGTTTTTATCCTCCCAGACAAGTCTGGTACCAATTAACCGACCCCGGAGGGATGGAAGGCTTGGTTGGCCCGGGCGACTCACGACCCAGGATTTGATCCCCGGACCGCTCGCGTGGTAAGCGTGCCACTTGTCACTACACCACTTCCGCCCCTGGAAGTACTTAACTCATGAACTACTAGTTTCTCATGTAAATTTAAGAGCTATTTTCTTGTAGTGGTTTTATATTCGTAGATTTTCCAAACTTTTGACGAAACGTGTCCTAGACAAAGACGCATTTTTCATTGATTTTGAGAAATTGTTTTTGTTTCGTTTCACGTTTTATATTGTGAACGATATACGCATTTGAGAAAATTTCGTTGACTCTAGGCAGCGCTAGCTCCAAAACGAAAATTCCCAAACTTTTGACCACTACAGCACCTCTTTTAAGGTTGATATTAAAAATGTAAACAAACGTTGTTAAGATAGGAGCAGCAAACTGTGATATACTTCCACTGAACGAGTGTAGTCCTTGCATCATTCCCTGAACATGTACGTTTTCACACGTGTGGATTTTTTCCATAGCTTCTGGGGAACTATGAATTCGAGAAGAGTTAGAGAGCCTTGGGCAACTTGGCTTTGGCTATTAGGGGATATTTGTTGAAAAAAATGCGCAAGGGAAACGAAATTATGATGATGGTTTTGAAGGAACCTCGGATAAACTGCAGCTCTAACTGAGATATAACGCTGATTAAATCGAGCCTTTCAAGTCTGCTTAAAGAACTCAATACCAAAAGATGTACAAAGCATTATTCTTCACGCAATTGTGCCCTATCCAATCGAGGCCTAAAAGATTTGAGATCAGCGCTCTAACAAGGGGGTCTTTCAGGGCAAGCCGCGCTTTTTGGAAACGGTTTCTTGCATATTGTAGGGACGCATGTATGGACCACAAAACCATGTTTCGTTTTCGCTGAACGGTTTTAGTAGTATCAAAAAAGTGGTGAATGATACCCTTGATGGTTCGATCCCCCGCGGCGACTTTTGCAATCAAGGTTGGCGGCCACTTGTTGGCTTCAAAATGGTCCTGACGATGAATATGACATCTGATTTTGACATTTAGCGCGATTTGGCACCAACCGTAGGCGCCAACCCAAATGCAAAATTTAGTCGCCACGGGGATCGAACCATTAACAGTACCTTATGCTTCTTTTTTGGTACTGCTATAACCGTTCAGCGAAAATGAAACATGGTTTTGCGTTCCCTACATGCGTCCCTACAATATGCAAGAAACCGTTTCTGAAAAAGCGTGGCTTGCCCTGAAAGACCTCCCTTGTAAGGCACATTTATGTATACATGTCTCTTCTTAGAACGTCATGGCGAATTGGTAGACTTTTCTTTCCAACGAATGGAACCAAGGTGAAATGGTTATACATTCGATCCAATAGCGCCAAGAAACCATGAATAGCAGCTGTCAAAGGTGGCCATAAAATGTGCATGGGCGTGGCCTCCGCTGAACTTTGGGAGCTATAGTAACTCAAAAACAACTTGAGGTGCCTACATAGCCGCCGTGTAAATCGGTTTGTGGCAAGCGCGGAAAGATAAGCAAACTTTGTAATCATAAGATATGCGCAGGGATAGGCAGTTCCAGAATCGAAAATTCCGCTGGCCTTGTCCCATACCGTAGTGCGCTGCTGTGAGGAACCAACCTGATACATATTGCCATATGCGCCCTCAGAAGCTTTGTCCAGGATCACCATAATTAGCTGCTAGATCACCTGTATCACCTGTCGTCCCGTTGATCATCGAATTGCTCGAGCGGGCGCCAGCAACGTCTCCATTCGTCCCTGTCGCGTGCAAGAGTTGTCCAGTGGACCCTCCTCGCTCGAGGGACACGATGTCCTTCATTCCTTTCGTTCAGAGCTTTCGTGAAGAAGTCTGACCATCGGGCCGGCGGTCGTCCAGGTGTTCGTTTGACGTCCCGAGGGGGATCCAGTCGGTAACCGCTTCTTGGGAGCATCAAAAGAAACCGCGGGGGTGTCATCGGCAATAATCGCATGAGGTGTGTCGGATCACGCTTATACTTGCGGTATTCCTTGCGAAACTGGTCTGCGTTCGGCCGTGAGTCTTCGATTCGGTTGGGTCGTACTGTCGGGCTATTTCTCCGGATGTCGCTCTCGTGCTACTTGCGGGTCCGGGTATAGGGTATTCTGTTCAGGCAGGGTCGTTTCTGCTGAGAGGCGCGGTGATAACGGGCTGGAGCCGGGAGCTGTCTCTGGCGCGGGCTGCGCAGAGGTCAAGTCTCTGAGGCGTTATGTGTTATGGGGCGAGGAGAGGACGGGTTGCGGGGAGGACGAAGAGTGGTTGGGCACGGGAGGCCGCAGTTCTTCGTCTTGGTTCATCTGCCTCGCGACTGTGTCTTTGCTGATCGGCTTGCGGCCAATTGTCCGGCTCCTATTGCTCGGCTGCTGGCAGTATGGCTGGATTTGAGCTAGATCGTCTATTCATAGTTGGATTTTATCCGACCTAGGGTACACGTAGCCGTGGAGCATCGGTGAGGTTCGTTCCGTGGTCGAGCGGGTTAATGGGGGCATCTAGGAACCAGATATGCGTTTCTCAGTGGAAAGCTGCGTATGACGCACGAAGTTCTTGTCTCACTGACCACGGGGATCTCTCGTTTCAGCTGATGGGCTCCTCTCCATGAATGAACGATCTCGAGGCGGGTTGGTGGGCGGACGGTGTGGACGTGGCGCGACCCAGCGTGCGCGGATAGGGGTGTAGAATGGCGAGCAAAAGCCACCATTGTGACTTGTGGCGGGCGTGAGATGGGGGGGGGGAGTTTGATTGGGGAGGGACTCCTGTTTCGTGAGTGGCGTTGTGCCTGCCGATCTATATACAGCGTCTTTCCAGGTCAGGCATCATCCATGCATGATGGCGGTGTGATGCGTGCGCTTATGTGTTCGTGTTTGCGGAGTTGTTCGTGGCTGGGCTAGTTGTGGGTCGTCGATTGCTTTCTATATCTGCGATCTTGCAATGCTACTGAGTCTCTCAGAATAGCTGGTTGTCAGTTCGAAGCTGATCTGGGAGGTACGATGGAGGCGCGATTGCAGGGCCGCTCTTGGCAGAAATCTAGATGTGGCCCCTTGTTCCGCTTGCAGTGGAGTAGACGGTGTGGTTAACACGCTGGGGAGGTTGCGAGGCGAATAGCCACTCGACAGAGCCGGGCAAGTTATCGCGCTGCCTAATATGCCAAAGAAGACGAGGCAGTATGGTATGGCGGCTTCGATTGGCCTGAAGGCCTTGGAGGGTGGGGCGTTCGCGAATACGGGGAGCTGTGGGTGGATGCCGCTCGGTGAGGAGGGCATGGAATGCTTAGATTATATTTCAATGTATAAACGGAGTCACGCTAAATTAATCTTGAGTGATTATTATTTCGCAGAAGTCGAAGAAATTGCTCCTGATATGTACGCGAAAAGAGAAGTAGTACGATAATTAGCACGGTATGTCATAGATGGTTGGCAGTTTGTAACGGGAAGCATTAGGTGCACCCACACCATCGATTTCTACTTAAAAGGGGTTTTGGAAAATTCCGTTCATGGCGTCATTGTTACATATAGGTCAGAAAAATAAACAAATTAATATAATCGGGAAGTCTGGCTATCGGGGCATCGAATAAAAGTTGTTTTACGACGCGTTGTGAAAACAAATTTCCGACTTTGGTGTGTTTATCATCAAGGTACTGGACAACAAACGACACAGGACTCGAACCCTTCCAAGTTTCTACAGAACTTCAACGTAGCGCCTCACGCCAAGACGCTCTCAAAGGTAGGAATTATGAGCCGGAAAAGCGCTGACGATGATGTATGGCTACTATCCTACATCCTAAACTAAATCAAAAAGTCAGCTGTAAAACATTTGCTGTTCGTCATTCTATGGTGGGCTAAATTGAATTTCGAGACAAGGCAACAACGCTGTACTCATCCCGCCTACATAGTTATCTAAAAACTATTCACAAGTTGATTTTGAAGCCCTAGATTTGATACGGTGTAAAAATTCACCTGCTTTCGCGGGCCAAGGATTTCAGAGTACAGTGTTCCTGAAGGAGATGCGATGAAAGGAAACGCTGCTCCGAAAAAGAAAACGAAACAAATGAAGTATATCGGAAATGGTACGCGGACTGTAGATGCACACCATTCATACGACGGTATACACCCGCCAATTTGCGATGAGTTTTTATCTGAATGAAAATTATTTTTATCTGAATGAAAATTAAAATAAATAAATAAAGGGTGGGGATTGGAGTTAGTTTATAGAATAACAATTTTTATTTTATTATACTATAATACTATACTAAGCATTATAATGTATTATATATATATATATATATATATATTATATATATATATATATATATATATATATATATATATATATATATATATATATATATATATATATATATATATATATATATATATATATATATATATATATATATATATATATATATATATATATATATATATATATATATATATATATATATATATATATATATATATATATATATATATATATATATATATATATATATATATATATATTGTGGTTGGTGCAATGCCTCACATATTAGGTTGGAAAGAAAGATCTGCAACACTTTCAGAAATTTTTTTTGAAAAATTCGTAGGTAACATTCATAGGTGAATGGAAAACGATAGAGCATTCCCGAGGCTCTCGGCTTGGGGTGGATATAGGTGCTGCAGTCAGTAGTTATTCAAGAAAATTCAAAAATTCCTCCCGACCACTGTGTAATTCCTTTATCTCTCAAACATGATCACACTGAGTTTATACAAAGGTCTCAAACTTATTTGAGCAATGGTAGTGCGGGTCAAGACCAACACTAGTCTTCAATAGCTTTCGCATGCTCGTTCACCGTCCTATTATCTCAGCGGTTGGTTGGGGGGTGTGGCCCGTGTTTCAACTTTACCAGCGCTTTCGATCTTTTGTTATTTTTTTATAAGGAGCCAGCAGCGTCCCGCACACTCTATGACACATAGGGCTCATAGAAGCTCCATTACAAATTCTTTATGGGCACCATTGCAACGTAGGTATCGACGCCTATGACTGCGCGAAAACTCGTTTGACGCATCTTCTCGAGGCAGCTCGTCAGGAGCCCTCTTATCGCGACAGTATTTATTTCTTTCATGACATTGCGAACTACCATTTATTTATTTATTTATTATTTATGTGCAGGTCAATCATAACAGTGAGCAAAAATAATAATTGGACCCGAGATGGCACAAAATTGATTGACTCAAAATTCAATTTAGTGTCCCGAAATGAGCCCGGTAAGAAATTCTGGAGCTGCGGCAAGATTTCTTACCTCTCTTAGCGTATTCCCCTGGTCGAGCTATAAATGACTGCCACCTATCCTGGACCTTAAATCATCATCTTGATGACGAAATAATTAGACGATCAACTCCAACTCGAAAGTGAGGTCGCCTCCTTTCTCGACCCGCACTCCGCTGGGTTTTGGCAAAGGAGCATCAAGAAATTTTCTGAGCGTTGAAGACAAGTGGTGGACACTCATGGTAGATATAAGACCGGTCAGGAGTTGTAAACAAAAAAGATAAAATTAAAATCAAAAATTTGAAAAAGTGTTGCAGGACTTTCTTTCCAACCTAATATTACATGTCTATCTATAGTGGCTTTGATTTGCAATTCGTCCAGGACGAGGACAGCACCACCGCATTGGTTTTATTGATAAATGACGAAAGTCACAACATTTTATAAGTAGTGATTTACCTGTGGGGATGTAATCAAGCGGACCTGGGTAGAATGACCAGGGATAGTTGAAGATATGGAATAGCAGGAAAGCCATGAGGCCAAAAATGATCTGCTTTCGCTTCTCTCTAAAAAATGTTATAGATAGAAGCTTTATCAGCGTTGCCACTTCTGAGGAAAAACCAGCAATCTACAGCGCCGCTAGAAACTTGATATAGAAAAACTCTCCTTTCAATTTGAATAGTCAAAAATTTTCCGAAATGTCCTCTTTAGGAGCAATTTCTTTGCTTTACCCTTAAACTGGATCTTAGGGGAGGTTAAAAAAAGAACCACGAACCTAGAGAACGGATGAAGAGATGGTCCAAACTTCAATTTCCAGCGAAAAGAAGCTTTTGTATTGTAAAATGGCCCCACCAAATTGATGATAAACGGCAGTGCAAATTTTTAAGCTTGAATACAAGTCGCAATTCTCCGCACATTTCAGGAGATTTCTGGTATTATTCTTATCGTCTGCTTTAGGAGATTTCTTACATGTAGAAGTCAGTTCTCGGTCTTCAGTTGTGGTGCATGACATGCCATGCATACAATGGTGGCCAAAAAAAAGACACTTTGCCTATGGCGCACATCAGAACTTCTCACTACATAGTGTGGCGCTGTTGATGAAAATTTACGGCAAATATCCCTTAGATGTCCTCCATAAGTAGAAGCAGGCCCTCTTCCACTGCCCTCACCGTCCTCAAAATATGACGTCATCTTCCATCACCGTTGTGATCAAGAAGACCTAAATTAATCGTTCCAGCCTGAAGCCGCTACGATTCTCCGGTTTGCGTCCTAGGGACAGAAGCTCTGACGACCAGAGTCAACCCTGCGTTGCGCAGTTCTCAACGGCCACGTTGCGCAGTTTCGCCCGATTAGACACGTTCTCTCGCGCGAACATTCACACTCGCATGCTCGAGCCGTCTGTGTCTCCGCCCATACAGCGTGCGTTGAGGATCTCTCAACGTGCCGTTGCGAACTGCGCAACGCAGGGTTGACTCTGCTGACGAACTGTTTCGACCAGCGTTTCACGTAACGTCGTAAAGGTCCATGATCCGCCTAGGCCGAACCGTGCCCGAAGCTCCCATGGCAAGTTCTTATAATGTCCTCGGTGCAGGAAGGTACTACACTACACTGGTGTGCAAAACTTAAGGACCAGATAGATAAATTGTCCTAACTTATTAACAATTAGATGGAATTGGATGAAACTGTACGGGCATAATGCTAGAAGCCCTACAGTCATGGGCACCGAAGTGGGCCTCATATGTCTTGCATCCGGCTTCAATCTGGAGCCTAAATGGGGTGGCCACCCAGAACGATGGGTATCGTGGGGCAGGACAAGAGGGGTAAACTAAGCAGGGAGAAGTGACTGTGGAATGTAGTGGTGTTCTTGATTACATCAAGTCTCAGAGACAACACTAGGGTGACTTTACGCGAGGAAGAATCATTGGGAAACTGAAAAAAGGAAGTTGTGTCCAGGAGTTTTGTGTCAACCACAGCATTGTTTTTTGTGCATGAGAAGCAATGTGGACCGCAGCCACTGCTGTCCCAAGAAGAGGAGGTTGTGGGTCACGAACAACCGCAGCAGCAGGTGATTGCTAGGTTTTGCTACAGGCAAAAATGGACCCACGTCAGTCACATGCTGCAGTTGCAAAAACATTTATCAGGATTGTAAGGCATGTAATCCCAGTCCGGACAGTGGCGCAGTGACCGCCTAGGAGTGATCTCTCTCATCGATCAACAATACCTGTATTCATTTGAAATCCACGCCTCGGCTGGGACATTTGGTACGAGCCGAGACATTTGGAGAGACCAGAATTGATAAATCGGCGTATTCCTTCCCGGGCGCGTATTCTTCCCGGTCAAGAGCAAACTGAATGTGAGTAGTGATTCTGGACTTACCTGCATATGGGGAAAATAGGAACGTGTAATCTACCCAGGACCATCGTTTAACATGATTGTTTTGGTAGTGCATGCGACATGATGTGGGGAGGCATAAAGTTGTCGGGGCGTACTGATCCCCAACTCATGATCGCGTTACACTTTCTGATCAACGTGATTGTGGTGTTGTACCCTTCTGTCATGTGCATCTTTCCAAGGGTTCCCTTGCCCTCAGCTTCAATCGTATGGAGGGCAGTGTGCGAGAGTATCGAGCAGCCTGGGTGGAAAACTCTTGAAAAGTGAGGATTTTCGGTAATTGGTGAAGCCATTTATTTCCTCCAGTCTAATTCTATGGAGCACGTGTGGCGTGGATTCAGATGAGCTATTGTAGCACATGACCATGTGCCAACAATAGTCCTGCAGTTGTCAATCGCGGTCTCCAAGGAATCGGTCACTTCTCCTCAAGAACTCTTAACTAATCTTACGGCCTGTATGGGAACACGTAGCAGAGCATACCTTGCAGTCCGTAGTGTTCATACACCCCATCAAGAACTAGCTCCTCTCTTTTGAGTGTCTACATGAGTTGGAGAAGCCGTCACTCTCTGAGGTCCGTCTTCAAGTAACAGGGTATTTGCAGAAAAATGTCTTTTCCAATCGCCCCTTTGCGCTTTTCTGTTAGTAACTCTCTGCACTGTACCGCAACATTTACTTCTATATATGTGCCAAATTTGGTCCACCTAGGTTAACTAGCAGTGAGATATCATGTGAAAGTTACTTCGGTCCTTAAGTTTTGCACACCAGTGTACTATCGTTTTGCAATTGAATGTCGGCTTTTGATTACTAAATCGGTGAAGGGCGCGATCTTGAAGTTTAGCGGCATGGAGTTGATGCTGTTTGCCTGTGGGGGAATGTCTCTTTTTTGGGCCACTCCTCGAATACTTTGCGATTCGTGAGTTTCAAAATTTAGGAAGGGCAAGAAATCAGAACGAAATCATCTGTTGCAAGAGAGTAAGAAATTGGTTTCCTCGTGAAACTCAGATCGAAACTGGCATCGAGGCATAATTGAAGCAGCCAACATTTCTATGACCATATTTGCGTTACATTTTGGTTGCTTGAATAAAACCAGTGAGTGAAGGAAAAGCACTTTCCGCAAACAGACACGAAATTTAGCGAGACATGGGTGCTGTCAGTAAAATTTTCTGGCGTCTCCGGTGAGAGAGACATTCTACAGTGTGAGTGTTTGAGCCCTCTATTGTTAGAGTTGAAAGTTCAGCACTGAGTGTGAAATATACTAACATCTTTCCCAATCTCGTATAACCAATAAAAAAGTTCAGGCAGACAGACATCAGGCAGGAAGCTGTTTGAAGGATCCCATTGAACAAAACAGCGTCTGAATCTTCTGAGGTTGTCCAGCTAGGCCAGTCGACCACACGGTGTTGAGATTCTGTGTAATGCCGCATAATTGTGAGCCGGTTCCTGCGCAGGAGCTCCATAATAGAAGCGCAGACGGAATTTTCATCCGCTCCTATATATTTTCATTCATCTCCTTCACTCCTTTTCTTGGTCTTAATTTTCTGTCAGGATAGGAACACTACAGCCATCAATTCTCTGAAGGAAATTGCGCGGGAAGATTCTTGACTTCTTTCTAACAAAATATTTCGAGTTGTGATCATTGGAAATACACACAAACGTGTCAGAGAGAGAGTTCGGGGATTCTGAGAAATACAAGCGTACAACACGGCACGTTATTGGACCATTGGAAGGAGAGAGAGGGAGAGGGAAGTACGGGACGTTTTTTCGGCTACCGTAACAGGTGGACGCATTAGAATCGGTGATATACGCGCGCGATGTGTGGAGTGCGAAGAACTAAATCGTCGAATGTAGGAGTGGATAGAAGTTACAATGTGTGAACTTCAGGTGCTGGCTCAGAGCAGAAGCCAGGAAGAAGGCTATTTAATGCACTCCAAGAGACGCAAATTGAATCGCGCGTGCGCCAAGCATGTGAAAGATCTCGAGTGCCAGATTCGAAACGCGTAGCAGCCTTTTCGGAGTTTGCGTTAATTTCTAAATCAAACGAAGCATTACTCGGCTCTTTTCAACACTATATCTATCCTGGATAATGCTCTCCAAGCCGTTTTATTTACGGGGATGAAATGGCATTTATGATTTTTTTTCAGTCGCGCAAGGAGTTCTCTTTGAGAATTTTGGCTATCGTGGCGAGGGCGCCAATGTTGAAAGAATTCCATCCCTGACTGAGTTCCCGTTCCTGTCGATACAACCCCTTTCGCTTCCTCATTGAGTCGAACACGACCTCAGGTCAGAATCCTCGGCGATGGATTGGTTAGAGATAGCATTACACACTGTAAGAGAGGATGGCAAGAATTACAAAAAATTTCCAGCCGTGTTGATATGCTATACGAAGTTCGTATCATTATACAAGTACAAAGGCAGGGATAGCCGAGTGGTTAAGAGGTTAGACTCATGTCTGCACCTCTGAAAAACCGCGAGTTCGATCCCTGCCGAGGCTTAAACCATGCCTTGCAAAAATTGCAAAAATGGTTCTAGTACCAGCGTCAGGCCCAGGTTGACAGGCCGGCTGATGAATACCCCAGTCACACCAACCATGTCTAAAAGTTGTCAAAGAATCAGTGATAAAGCTAGGACGTCACCCGGAAGTGGCGCGCAGAACCCCGCCCGAGTTCTGTGGTCAGTATGCGAGGGCTACCGAGGAGTGAACGGCCTCGGCCAAAGAAGCTAGTTCGAATTGGGACTCTGAACGTAGGATCGCTAACTGGGAAGTCCCGAGAGGTTGCTGATCTGATGACGCGCAGGAATATCCAAGTCCTATGCCTTCAGGAGACGCGATGGAAAGGTGCTAAGGCCAGGGAAATCGGGGAAGGTGTCAAACTCTACTACAATGGGGAAGACACCAAGCGGAACGGTGTGGCCATAGCGGTAGCGGAGTCGCTCAAGGACTATGTCTCCGCTGTGAACAGGATCAGCGATCGGATCATGGCTGTGAGGATAGACACGAAGGAGGGGTACTGGTCAATACTCTCGTGTACGCTCCGCAGACCGGATGCCCCGAGAGTGAGAAGGACGAGTTCTACCTAAGCCTTGACGAAGCCATCAGATCGATCCCGGAAGGCGATTACTTGACCATAGCAGGTGATCTGAATGGGCACGTCGGCAGCGACAGAAGAGGTCTTGAAAGGGTGCACGGAGGTAGAGGAATAGGAGTGAGGAACGCCGAGGGAGAGAGGGTTCTGGACCTGGCTACAGCCCACGATCTGGCAATCTGCAGCACGTTCTTCGCGAAAAAGACTCAGAAGGTAACCTACAGCAGTGGAGGGAGACAGACGGAAATCGACCATGTGCTGGTAAGAAGATCATCCCTCAAAACTGTGAAGGATATCAAGGTACTTCCTGGCGAAGAACTGGCTCCCAGCACAGGCCCCTCCTGGCAGACATTGCCATAGACCTCCCCAAGAAGACAAGGGTAAGAACCGAGAGGAGAATCCGGTGGTGGAAGTTGCACCAAGCAGAGAAGAGTGACCTCAAACGAAGGATAATGGAAGTCTCCCAGATCCTGAGGGACCAGTGCAGCGGACTTGGGGCAATGCAGCTGAGATCATCCTACGATGCGCCAAGGAGGTACTGGGCGAGACGCGAGGTGGATTCAGAGGAGACAAGGCAGCGTGGTTCTGGAACGAGGAGGTCCAGCGAGTCGTGAAGCAGAAGAAGGAAGCATACAAGCGCTGGCAGAAGACCCGGAGCCCCGAGGACCTCGCTGCCTACAAGAGTTGCAAGAGGCTCGCTAAGGCTGCCGTCGCCAAGGCGAAGAACACGGAAATGGACGCCTTGTACGAGAAGTTGGAAAGCAGAAACGCAGAGAAGTTCGTCTTCAGACTGGCCAAAGCCCGGCATCGGGCTACCCAAGACATCAGGGTGGTGAAGAGCGTGAAGAGCAGTAACGGTGCCATCCTGAGGAAGCCAACTGAAGTCAGGAGGAGGTGGGAGGAGTACTACAAAGCGCTCCTGAACGAGGAGTTCCCCCACAAAGCAGAGGCGACGGCTGGCCCTATCTCACTATGGACAGAGGATGAGGTTCGTCAAGAACTAGGGAAGATGAAGGTTGGAAAGGCGGTTGGTCCAGATGGGGTGCCAATCGAGGCATGGAAGGCGCTCGGAGAGTACGGGATAAGATGGCTCACCCAATTCCTGAACAACGGTAACCACCGAAGGAAGGATGCCGGATCTGGAGAACAAGCACTATCGTCCCCATCTTCAAGCAGAAGGGTGACGCGATGGACTGCTCCCTACCGCGGCATCAAGCTAACCGCTC